TATTGAGATGACTATCGTATATAGACCCGTGTACACCGTTTAATATCCATACACCCATATCGAGATGACTATTATAAACATACCCGTATACACTGTTTAATATCCTTACACCCATATCGAGATGACTATCGTTTATAGACCCGTATACACCGTTTAATATCCATACACCCATATCGAGGTGACTACCATAAACAAACCCGTATACACTGTTTAATATCCTTACACCCATATCGAGATGACTATCGTATATAAACCCGTATACACCGTTTAATATCCATACACCCATATCGAGATGACTATCGTATATAAACCCGTGTACACCGTTTAATATCCATTCACCCATATCGAGATGGCTATCGTATATAAACCCGTATACGCCCACAGTGGAGCCACCTGGCTTGAGGCGCTGTCTGTCCTCCTGGTACTCACAATGTGCTGTTCCGCTCCATCCTCATATGCTGCAGTGTCGGTGTGTGTGTTTGTTTTCCACACTCTGTTGGTATCTTTACTACCAGCGCGATCCTGGCCCTCCAGCTCAGGCGCGCCGGTGTCGTCACAGGCGTGGGTGTTGCAGGTCTCTATTAGTCTCCTCCTGGGGGGTATGTTTACATGTGTGTGAGTGCCACCCGCATACTTTTAACACCATTGTCTATCTACCACACAGCAATATCAAATACACTTCCCACACACCTCACACACATACTACTACCTACTCTCACCAACCGGGTGCCTGGGTTTTCTAAACCCTAAAACCCTCTCGACCCTACCCGCCACACACAACACATAGCAACTATACTTATCACAAACAATACACAACACACAACACACAACACACAACACACAACAGCCAAACCCGCCACACACAACACACAACACACAACACACAACACACAGCACACATACTCGCAGTCGTCACATATCTGCCAGCGCAGTCCCGTGCCACACGTGCTGGTGCACTTAGTCCACACAATGCTGTCACTGTACGTGCTGGCTGTTTCTGCGTTGTCATCGCTACTGTTGGTATCACCGTCAGTGTCCCCATCACCGCTGTTGCTCTCCTGAAGCTCGGGTACCACTACATCGCCTGCTTGCATGTTGGAAGGATGTGGTTATTGTAGGCTGGTACGTTCTTGATATTCTGCTATGCACGTAAACGTGTGGCTACATAATGTATACTATAAGCTTATACGTTCATGATTTTTTAATATACACTCAGACACATGGTTGGAATACATGCCTGTTCGTGGTGTATGCTCTGTTATATGTACGAGAGAAGACTGCTCCAATTGTGTGCACAATGTCTGTCCCAGACGACTTCGGGACATCACTTGCTACAGCTTCACTTGTACAACTATGTTGAATTATATTAAAAACCAAACAACGTCGATTCACATAAACACATCTCCAACGTCGACTCGCATAAACCCTACTATTAAACTATATTGAATCCCAACAAGGAAGACTCACAGAAACCATACCGCAATCGTGGTGGCATGTCATGTTTTCCGAGACAACGGGACAGATTTGTGTGTTATCCGTCAAGCACTGCCGCGATCTCGTGTGCACGCCTGCGCAGTGATAGGCAATCAAATGCGTTCTAATTAGCTCAAATGTACGTAGCAATATGGGTATAACATACTAAAAGTTGTACGTATACTTATACATCTGCGTATACTTGTACGTATACGCATACGTATACGTATATATGTATATATATATATATATATATATATAATGATATACTGCCAAGGTTCACTCTAGATATAGGGTTCCCAACCTGCTTGAACCGAGAGATTTGGACAGATCGAATGCGTACATATAAATATGTTGTCATAGACATGACATTGGTGCCAGGAACTTAGCAGAATATGAGACATCAGACGGATGATGCGGTCTGACATAATATATGTACAGAATATATGTTTGCGTACTATGCACACGTATTGTATATGTATATGTATATGTTGATAATTAAAGTATAACGCTTTTCCACTCTAAACAGTTCATGATCTAAAAAAGTTACTCCCTATCAAAGTATTTACCTGAACAAATTAAACTAGTAAGACATGTCAGCAACTATGAAATTTAAGCCGTTGATTAGTTTTTTCAATTAATATCACATGACACACAACACTGATATTTCACCCTAAAACTAATCTCTCTCTCGTACACCTGAGTTATCATGCATGACTCACTATTACACGTGAACCACACACATGTTACAGCATATATATATATATATATAATGTGTGTGTGTGTGTGTGTGTGTGTGTGTGTGTGTGTGTGTGTGTGTGTGTGTGTAGTGTGTGTGTGTGTGTGTGTGTGTGT